GGGGCAGGTAGTAAAGGTCTTCCAGAAGAAGGGACACCTAAGCTGAAATCTGAAGGGAGAATAAATTGAACAGGTTTAGAATTAGGTTGAGGGAAAAACCTTTCAGGCCGAAGTAACAGATTATGTAATGTATTATATGCCCAAATAGGCATACAGTATTCAGAAAACTAAGAAGCTTTGTTTGGCTGAAGAATATAGGAAGAGGGCAGGAAGGAAAATACCTAATAATTAAGATGACTGAGTGAAGCTGATATGACTAAAAAAAGTTGAGACCAGATCATAAACATATTAAGCACTTTTGGGTTTATCTTAAAAATAATGATGAACTATTGAAGAGGTTTAAACATGCAGGTGACACCAAAATTTATATTTTAAAAAGACTAGTAAATGGATGTAGGGCAAGACTGGAGACAAGGAGGAAATCGTAGAAAACTTGATTAGGAATGAAGATGGCCTGAACTTTTAAACTTTTCATCTGGGACACCATTTTGGTTTTTCTTTTATTACGCTGGCTGTTTTCTGTCTCTCTGCAGTAACTTCTGACCTTCTACATCTAAATGTTGATATCCTTCAGGGCTCAGTCCTCAGATCGCTTCTGTTCTCTATTCACACTCATTATCTGGTGATCTCATTCAAACTAATGACTTTAAATATAATCTAGACACTGACAAGCTCCAGATTTATGTCACCAGCTAGGACTCTCTTTTGACCTCCAGACTCATATATTCAACTGCCTCCTCAACCTCTCCATTTGGATGTTTAATAGGTATCTCAAACCGAGCATTTGTAACACCAAACTCTTGATTCTCCCATTAGATTTGCTCTACCACATTTTTCCCATGTCAGTAATGCTAACTCCATCCTTATAATTGAATAGCCAGAATTTTGTAATCATAACACTTTTCTTTCTCTCATGCTCTGTATCCAATCCATCAGCAAATCTTTTTGACTCTCCCTTTAAAAGACATGCAGAATATGACCCATTTTTATAATTTCTAATGCTATGTTTCTGGCTCAAGCCACAATCATCTCGAACCTATGTACTGTAATGGTCTAGATTATTGTAATACGTTATTGTTACAAGAAATCATTCTAACAGGTCCCCTTGCTTTAGCTCTCATTTCCTGTTATGTTTACACTCAACATAGCAAATACAGTTTATCCTTGAAAATATTAGGTCAGGTCACTATGAATAAAAATCTTCAATGGCTTTCCATCTTGCTCAGAGTAAAGGTCAAAGTCATTACAACGGCTTATACTACACTTGGCTGTTTCCCCTCATCTCACGTCTCTGACCTTAACTACGATGACTCCTCCCTTTGCCATCCTGCTCTAGATAACCTGGCTTCCTTGCTGTCCCTCAGACACTCCAAACAGGCTTCGTGCTCACAGCCTTTGCATCCTGCTGTTCCCTTTTCCTAGAACGCTCTTCTCCTAGAAATCCAGAACGTTTGTTTCTTTGCTTTTCTTCTTAAATGTAATTTTATTAACTGTTCCCTTTTCCTAGAACGCTCTTCTCCTAAATATCCAGAACGTTTCTTTGCTTTTCTTCTTAAATGTAATTTTATTACAGAGACCTTTCCTGCACCCCTTATACACAAAAAAGCAACACTCCCTCCAACTCTGCCTGAGTCCCTTACCCTGATTTATTTCTCTTCACAACACATATCACCATCTCCATAGTGCATAATACTACATATTTTCTGGTTTGTTTCCATCTCCCTTCATTAAGATTGTGTGCTTTGTGGAGGCAGAAGTGGTATCTGCTTTGCTCAGTGCTGACTCTCCACCACCTAGAACATTTTTTAGCACATGGTAAGCACTCAATAGCTGTTGCATGAAAAGAGGGATGCATATGAGTAGAACAAAAATGGAATGAAGTTGAACTTGAGATCTATTTAGGTAGTAGAACAATCAGATTGCAATAATTTATACAATATCGAGCAGAAGAAGGAAGAGCGAGGGGTCGAGGAAGTTGTCCAGGCTTCTGACCTAAACAACTGAATTGGTGGTATAGCGTTCACTGAACTAGAAAAGATGGGAGCAGAACTGGATTAAGATCAGGGGAAGAAAAGGATAAATTCAATTTTGAAAAAGTTGAGATTAAGGGTATTGGGAGACTTGGTGGGAGATACCCTGAAGGTAGGTAGCTGACTCTAGAACTATTCATTGGATTTGTACTTAGCATGCATCTGTTAGGTGCAAACCAACTATGTGAAAAGTAAATGACAAGAGAATCTGCAGTTCTGAGTTATTTTCTAAGGGGGAGTGAAATCCTTTTCACCTCTAAGGTGAACCTGCTCTCCTCAGGAGCTCACAGCCTCTGAGAAAGGCACATCCCCAGGCCTCGAAGGAATCTCATTGTCTGAACGCATCCATTTTTCAGTCTGACTCTGGGGGTGCATGTTTGCCATTTAGAACCTACTATATTTTACTGCACCTCCTGACATTGTTACACAACATTTATTGAAAGCACATTTGATGGTAATGAAGTTTCTATTAACTATGATTAAATCTCATAAAGCACCTGAAGATAATTTAAGATGTGCAGAAGCAGAAAATGAAACATTCAGTTTAGTACATTAGGAAACATAATTGATTAAATTATCTCATTTACAATAAGTGCTTTCATGAGCTATGCACTGCACATATTTCCCCCAGTTTGTCACTTTGATTTGCCAACAGATATCTGGAGACTTCACTTTCTTTTTACACCTCCCTGCAACTCAAAACTAACTCCTCGGCCCGCCCGCTTACAGAGGGACTGTGTGTGGGGCTCTGAGTGATGTGTTCTATCCGTCAGGCCTTGTGGAGGATCATGTGCACAGCTATATATGGAAACAGGTTGTTTCTCAATTATCTTCATAATTGACTTTGATTTTGCATCAGTGATGATTCATGTAGTCTTAAACGGAGCCCCTCTTTCACTGAACAACTGCAGCCTGAATTTGTATAATGCACTCCTAACCATGCAGCTTACAGAACCCCGATTAGATTCCTCTGGGAGCCTTTTGCAATCACATCGATTCTGTTAAGGTTTTATTTTTAGAAAATGACAAATTAAAACAGTTTAAGCGATTCAGTTGCAGTATCCAGCAATTAACCATGGCGTTCAGGAATGAGAACCTCAAGCAAAAACTAATCCAGGAGTCCCTGAGGACTAGAAATAGCTACTGTGGGGTTTATGGTTGGAAGTACAGATGTAACCAAATTAGAATGGCACAGAACTCACAAACTAAGCATGAAATTAATTTTTAAAAAACACACATGCATTTCTAAGTAACTCTCACATTGGTCGCCACATGGATATCCATGATCTTGCTTGTGCTACACACCAGAACCAGTGGATGGCATGGGCTGTATGACTAGGAAGTAGCTGATAGTCCACTTATTCCAGCTGTTACCCTGAGGTCTTGGCACAGGCACAAGCCAAGTATTCACTGACCTGTTTTAATTCTCCCTCTCTCAACATGCACATATACAGACACACAAACACACACATACACAACCAGGTTTCCCCACCTTCACTCTGTTATGAATTCAAAATCAAGCATATGTGATCTCAGAGAGCCACTAGCTAAGTACTAATGATTATGGGCACCTGACAACATGGAAAAGAAGTTAAGAAAGTTTGTTTTTGTTGCTCTGCAAAGTTCTCAGAACTCTGCAAGTAGTGACATCTTTATATCTCAAACCCGCCTGAAGCAATATGATGAAGTATGAACATAATAGCTTTACTGAATCTTTCTCTCAAGTCTCCTGACCCCTGTCCCAAGGTATCTATTTCTGTCTGTCTTCATAGGGTCTTAATTCTTTCAAAGAAGGTGGCTAATAAAAGCTATTAACTTTCCCAAGCTATTTGAATTTTAATACCCTAGGATTTAAAAGATCAAAAGTCATTCATTTTATACTAAAATGGGAGATCCTGGCCAGAGACACCAACCGCGCTTGCCAGGAAGTCGCCTCACACTGCTATTGCTAAGAGTTATATTGCTGACACCTTTTTGATCTCGAGGTTTCCCTAATATGTTTTATATATCTGAGCCCTTGAGAATCATTTGGGGAACACAGTACAATGTGGATTTTCAGGCACCCCCTTGCCCTTGTACCGGGGATTCTAATTCATTTGTTCTGTTCTGAGCTGGGGCATATTTACCCAGCTCTCGTCACACCCCCAGATTCTGATGCACTTGGTTGCCATTCTACCTTTTGAGAAATATTATTCTAAGACAGTGGTTCTCAAGGTGAGCTGCACACTGGAATCACATGAGGAACTTTTAAAACTAGGAGTTCCTGGGTTCTAACCCCTATCCCTCTTCTGATTTCATTGGTTTGGGGTACAGCCTGGGAATTGGGATTTTTAAAGGGCCTCCAGATGGCCTTCAAGTTCTGCCAAGGCATAGAACCACAGGGTCAAATACTGAATTGCCAACCATTCTATCGCCGCTCCTTTCCCCAAATCTCCCTGATGTACAAGATAGAGATAATGCAAAAGCCTCTCCAGGAAGCAAGTCTGTGTTTCGAGAGTTCCATTTCCTGATAATTTTACAGTGGAATACCAGTTCCTAATTTACCCAGTTGCCATGGATCTTACAGTTTGCATCTCAGGCACCTCCCCCCGGCACCAACCCCCTCATACCCCCCAACCCCCGCCGTGGAGAGGTGTGTCCTCGGGCTTTTGCCACAGGCTGCTCTGTATACTGACAAATATTTTAATGCTATAAGTCTCCTCGGAAATAATTTTAGACGACATTTGCAAAGAAATGGGCTTACAGGCAGGCGGAATCAAGAGGAGAGATTTACTCTGAGGGAGGGGAGGGGTGTGCATAATTCTTTCTGATTTAAACCTCTGATATGTGACTCCAAACCCAATGAGCAGAAGCCCTGAAAGCCCTGGATATTTTGTACAAACTTCAGTTCTGTTTGGCTCCTAAAAAAATACAACAGTAAGGCAGCAAATATGAGAATAAATTATATACATGAGAGGAAAAATAACTTACTTTGGGGTTTTATTTCATGAAGAGGTTTTTTATCTAAAAGAAAGAAAGAGAAAAAAGTTGCATTTAATAAATTTACATGGAGCAGATATATTTCCTATATCACTTTATGTCTACCTCTGTAAATGAAACGTTTTCTCTGTTTTTGCAGACAATATGCATTATGTTGTCTGAATTTTTCCTTTTCATTCTAATTTTTCATTTTTCTCTTTTGCAATATTTTTCTAGGATTATTGCTTCATTTCTTGTTTTATTTTCCCTCAGGCTTACTAGTTTCTCTCTGTTTCATTTGCTAGATTCTTATCAGCATGATGAGAGCAGTGAGCCTGCAGCCTGTCCCTTTTTATATACAGCCAGAAGATGGCTCAGGTAAGGGATGCTTTTTCACTAATATATGATGATAGAAAAACAAACCAGTGAATAAATATTTAAAGGGATCCTACATTGGTCTGCAGTTTTCATGGCCTGGATAAAAAGTTCCAGACTATGTCATCTACTCATTCTCGTTTGGTATACGTGTGGTGTTGTGAGCATGTTGGAGGTTTGTTTTTAAGAAATCACACTATTTTGTTCATATTTCTATTATCTGTTAAAATATGTATGATCTCTCTTAATGGAAAAGTGTCATTTTGCAATCATAGTATTGAGCAGCGCAGCAGTCAGATGTGGATAAAAAGAAAAGACAGTCAATCTTTTTCTTGAGCAGGGCCACAGGGGCCAGAGCTCAGGTGAGATGTTTTTATGAATTCTCTCCATTTCCCTTAGTCCACTCTCTCCTGTCCTGTCTCTTATCACCAGATTATCTTGCAACAATCTTGTCAATCACTCTGAGACTTGCCTCCTGAGGATTACTTTGTTTTATAGCACAGCCCCCCTCCGCATTTCCCCTGCCTGGCCCTGTCCCAGGCAGGGCTACACAGCGGCAGCACCGTGGTACACAAATCTGGGAAGCCTACATTTCAGACACCATGTCTAGAGTCCAGATTTGCGTGGTGCGCCATCCCTCTTATTAGTCCCTTCTAGGGCTTAGACAGAATGCTGTCAAACCACAGGCACTAAGGCTGTTGCTAGTCGGTCATAGAATCACACTATGGTACGGCACCTTGAAAGGTCACCTTGTGCAGTCAGTCCCCTTCCTCCGTTTGCCTGAAAGCGAGCCAAGCGGGGTGACACACTGTCATTTTGGATTATTTTTCTAACTGAATCAAATCTAGTACAGTATGAATTTGAGAACTTCATAAATATTATCTGACGCACTGTAACCCCTTGCAGGCAGAGATGCAGCTATATTCCAAGTCCTTCACGGAATATCTATTTCCCTAACCCACTCTGCACTTAATACTGATTTTGACAGAAAACCTGTTAGTATGATTTAAGTACAACTCTAGTGGTTTCGTCATTTGATTTGTTAAGGGAGTAGCTGTTAGAAGTTATGTCTAAATCACACTCTTGCAATGGGCCACAATTTTGTTTTTTTTGTTTGTTTGTTTGTTTTTAATATGGGGGAAAGTTAATTGGCAAAGGGTAATTTCTGGCAAATCTTTCTTTCAATGAAAAATCCTTGTAAAAGATGATTTGTTCAGGTATGATCATATTCAGATGTTCATACAGTCAAGTTTCTTAAAACAGACAACACTTGCGTTCTGCTTACTGCACAGATTTAATGCCACTGTTTTTTTCCTGAGAGCAGGTGATGCCTCCCAAAGTCCAGATGCTAATGCACTCAAGAATTCGAGTAAAATGACGCTGGTGGCTTGAACCTAACTTCAATTTTTGCTTATTGCATGCTGTGTGACAGCATTTGGCATGGGCACCGCAATGCCGGTATGCCGAGGTTAAGCCATCTGAAAGTGATATATCGCTAAGACTGCACAGACAGACATGCAGAACGTCAGTTTAGAACCCTGGCTGAGCTTATTAAATATCATTTTCTTCCTTCTAAACCACAAGAACAAAGATTATGCCGGGTAGCAAAATGAAACTCCATTAAAAACAAGTGAGATATATAACTGCTACCCAGAAAAATAAATTGAATATAGCCAGGCTGTGAAAAAAATTGGGTTGGTAGTGTTCTACTGGGTCTAACACTGAAGGAAGAAAAACTGAATTGGGCTGACAAGCTTCGGACGAAGGTCCTAAGACAGAACTCAGGTCACAAGGGCAACAGGACAGAGGAGTGGGGCATTGCTCCTCTGACCCAGCTCTGGTGGCATCATTACTGGCACTGTGGCATTGTAGGATTAGTGCAGACTCTCAGAGTTAGAACTGGATTTAAACCTTAAATTGTCTGTTTTACCTGCGTGACTTCACTGTTCTCCACAGTAAAACGGGAATGATAATGGCCCTGAAGGTTGGTATTGGGGATTAAACACGATGAATGTGAAGCATGTAGCACACAGCTGGCACATGTTTAGCCTCAATAAATGGTAGTTAATAACAAATGTTATAATTTCAACATGTTATGAACAGGATCATCATCATCACTTGTTCAGAGTAAAAAAAAAAAAGACTCTCAAAGATAACCCCAAGTTAGAAATTCTGGTAAATTTCTGAGGTGCTTGAAAGGGAGGTGAGACACTTCATGTCTACTGGTTTCTGCTTTATAAGACTAAGGGCAAGTCAAAACTTCAGTTTCCCGGTTTGCAAAAAGAAAGGCAGGGACCAGAAGACTCCTGTAGGCTCCCTAACTTTCACCCACTATAAATCAGCAGAATAACAATCTATGACATTCCATTTGAAATGATTTCCTAAAGCAGAGTAAAAATTATTCAGAGGGCTGCTGCTCTTTCGTGGCATTCGTTATGCTAAGGTCCAGACGTCTTGTGTGTGAGTGTGCATTCTCTTGTGGAAAAAGGGTGGAGGACTCTGGTGCCCAAGAGAGTTTTAGTCCCATGACATCAGCATCAAAATTGGGCCCTGCTGTATTGTGTGAAGTACCAGTATTATGTCAGCAAGCTGCTATCACCGAACATTTTCCCAGCTTGGAAAGTCTGATCAGAGACAATTCTACCATGAGCTCTAGAGAAGGCTACTCTCTGACCTCACTATCTTTTGTAAGAACTGCCTACCCCACACTCCATGTTCTTTTATTCTGTTTGCATAATCATTTTCTTACAAGACTCAGGGCCATGCACCCACTTGGCCTTGGTTAACTAAATCCTCTCTGCTTTAATTTTACCTCTCTCCAAGGCCATGTTTAGATGACCCTTACTAAATTAATCCATTAAGGCCATGGTTCTTAATGTTTGCTGTGCGTTAGAATCACATGGGGAGAGTTAAAAGAATATCTATGTGGGCCCCACTCTAAGAGGTCCTGATTAATTGGGGTTTGTGTTTTTGTAATTACAGAGGGCACAACCACTTCCTGGCAACAAATATGGGGCTCTGTTTACTAAACTTCAGTAAGTCTCTGCCTCCCTAGTAGGCTTTGGGGTAGCTGCAGTGTCCAAATGGGCCCAGAAGAGTCCCTTTTGTAATCTGCAGGCAGAGAAATATGATTTTGAGCCAGTGGCAGCTGAGCTGCAGACTGTGAAAATTAAAACAGTTTTCTAAGGGTCTAACATATACCAAGAAGTATCTTCTGGGTAAATGGAAATTGATAATCATAACTCAGTCTTACAATTATTTTGTGTACTTATAAGCTAAAGATACAGAAGTAGTTTTTAATAGTGTTTAAAAACTTGTCATGTGTTCTTTAAGTTATATATACAAGTCTAAGCCTTTCCCTCTATTTTATATATGTATAAGATTATGTGCCCACATACACACTTATTACATATATTCTATCAGAAAACTAAATAATTGATAGTAATCATTTTTACCTACAAAAACATGGAATTATCTTTTATATATTATTCTGCAATCTGCTTTTGTGTCCTAGTACTGTAATGCAAATATTGCTCTGTGTGTGTGTGTGTGTGTGTGTGTGTGTGTGTAATTACGTATGGTGGGAGAGAAAGAGAACAATGTACCTTTTTATTTTTTATGGTGATTCATTTCCTTACCACCTTTCATTTATTGCTTTCCTTGTTATATGGGAGGCTCTCAAAGCATTTCCATGGTATCCATTGTTCTTAGGAGCTATTTATAGCCACACACCTACCTTCCTATCCACCTACCCACACACACCCAGCCCTATCCTCAATCTGCCAAAGAACAAATATGGCCAGCTGTGTGCAGCCCACATCCTGCAGATCTAAGAGAGCGGGCCTGAGACATAGAACATGTGAATAAATAGTTTCAGTCTCCAACTTATAGACTGGACAAGAGGCTGTTCCCCATAAACTGTGGGTTGTGATTATGTGAAATTGTCTCTTATTAGTTTTGACTCTTACAAGGATATGTTTGATACGAGAGTGTAGTTGTTTTTTGAGATTCAGGCATAGAGCCATTCAAAGTGGACTACATACCCATCAAACAGTAAGCCCAGACAGCTATTCCCTTCCCAGGCAGCAATTCACATATGTCATTATAGTTAATGATTATTATTCTTTTATTTTGGTAAACTAGTAATATCTCATGTTTTCATCTCCAAAGATCACTTTTTCCTTCTTCATTTCTCACCATCCCCCAAGAAAAAAATGTGTGTTGACTTTTAATTTACCTTCCACAGTCTTTGTAATCTTAAATTACTTAGGAGTTGATTCTGAAGTCCGTGGAATAGAATAGTCAGTCTTCTCTGCCCATTCTCTGGCTATTTCCTTGCTGGGATAATTACTATCAGTATGCAGGAATCTAATATGATTTCACATGCCTCCAATTCAAAGCCAGCTGCTCTGCCTACTTTTACAGTTTTCTATTAACTGATCCCACAACAAATATGACTTAGTTTCCACAGCACCTCAACACAAATCCATGCTCTAGTGTAATCAATCCATAAACTCTCCAGACTCTGCAGGGCTCTTGCCCATGCTGTTGCCTCTACTTGGGATATCCTTCTCTCTCCATGCCTTCTATATAAAAATCACCTGTTTCCAACGCATAGATCAACACTTTAAATTTATTTTTCAATTACAGTTGACATGCAATATTATATT